ACCAATTTTAACTAAAAATTACAATGAAAGTCAAAGATTGTAATCATGTTAATTGCAGAATCAAATTGAATTGAGTCAAGTGCAAACAGTTTTTTTTTTCTTCAAAATGTAATATGATAAAATCATACTTTTAGTGATACTAAAAACTGCACGTAAAATTCTTCAAAATTAAACTCGCAGAGAAAATGGTGACTTCGCGAATCAATGGTAGACAATATCAAAAAAACTTAGAACAAAATGAAATTTATTTTTTTTAGCCAAAAAAGTTAATCGAAACTATTTTGATTACTCTTTGCTACTTTTGATTGAAATTTGATATGTTAATATCTATGCACACAAGCCGTGCCTAAGCTGTACGCAAGTACCTAAGCACAGCTTTTACACCAATCTATACTGAGGAATTGAGGAGAAAATAGAACAGAAATCGATATCTTTCAGAAGAAATCAATAAACCGGAATACCGGTTAAACAAAAAACTTCAGCAGGTCATTACCCTTAAAACTGTCTAAAACACAATTTTTAAACCATTTCTTAAAAATAGAGACCCCAAAACTAAATCAATATTAGCTTAAACACAAAGACGAAGCTTCGCACCACTTGTGATACAAAATGAAAACGCAGTGGATAAAGCATAAAACATTCAATGAACACTTTTATTTGCGAGTGAGGTTAGAAAAACAGGAAAATTCGTACTAATACGCTATCTGCTCGCAAGCGTAATACGAGAAAGTAGCAAAAAAGCCTGGAATCAGTAAAACTTTTGCTATGTGTCGGATTCGCATCTGCGCCACTGGTCCTTGAATGATTGCGAAAACTAGCCAATAATGATGCAGCTATATCTTCTAATTAATTGCCAGTGCTATGCAGCAGAAACGCCACCAAATAAAAACAAAACTAATGCTAAGTGCGGCGTTGAACCTCTGACCACTACATTACGAACATCAATTCGATCGACCTGTGCTACGGTCTCTTAAAATATGTATATATATAACTCTATATTTATGTTTAAGCTATATCGTATATTGCAATTTTTTTTCGATTTTCCAATTTGATTTTAATGGTTATTTAACCGAATTTAAATTAAGCAGCCCAATACCGAATTGGGATGTGCGAATTTGGCCTAAGACGAGATAAGACGAATTTGCGAGAAAAGACGATTTTTGTTTTCAAAAATTTTCAGAAATATCAAATGACAAAATAATTTACAAAACTTGAAGTTCCCAACCCTGTAGTTGGGTGCTGTCAGAGTACTAATAGGATTGCGAATCTTGCCTCCAAATATGACGGCTCAAATCCTTTAGTTTTCGAGATATGACGTTTTTTTGTGATTTTTTCAAAAACTTTCAGAAAACTTAAATTATTATTAATTTTTTTAAATCTGAAATTCCAACCCTGTAGTTGGGTACTGTCAGAGTACTATCAAGAGTTGCGAATCTTGACTCGAAATATGACTGTTCAAATCCTTGTAGTTTTCGAGATGACGTTTTTTGTGATTTTAAAAAAAAATTAAGAAAACTTAAATTATTATTAATTTTTTTAAATCTGAAATTCCAACCCTGTAGTTGGGTACTGTCAGAGTACTATCAAGAGTTGCAAATCTTGACTCCAAATATGACTGCTCAAATCCTTGTAGTTTTCGAGATATGACGTTTTTTGTGATTTTAAAAAAAAATTTAAGAAAGCTTAAATTAGTATTGTTTTTTAAAAATCTGAGATTCCCAACCCTGCAGTTAGCTCCTGTCAGAGTACTCTCAAGGATTGCGGTTCTTGCCTATCCATGTATGACCGCTCAATTTTTGTAGTATCCGAGATGTGACGTTTTGTTTTTTTTTAAAACTTTTCAGAACGTTCAAATTAATCATTCTTCAAAATTTGAAATTCCCAACTGTATAGTTCGGTGTTGCCAGGGTACTTTAAAGAGTTGCAAGTCTTGCCACATGAGACTGCTAAACGCGCCTGCTCAAATGCTTTTAGTTTCCCAGATGTGACGTTTTTTGATTTTTTCTTATTATTAGATGGCAATAATTGCAATCTTTGAAAGTACTCTGACAGCACACAACTACATGGTTGGGAATTTCACTTCAGTGAACTATTTTGAAATTTGAGTTTTCTGAAAATATCCAAAAAATATATAAAAATCTTCGTATCCTTAAACTAAAAAAGCTTAATTGGAGGCTGAATTTGCATTTCCTGAGATTACTCTGACAGCCCCCAACTACAGGTTAGGAATTTCAAACTTTGAAAAAAATATAATTTAATTTTCATAAATTTTAAAAAAATCACAAAAAAAGTCATGTCTGTAAAAGCTGCAAGATTTTGAGCAGTCATATTTGGATGCAAAAATCACAGCTCCTGAGAGTACCCTGAAAAGGGCCTCCTTACAGAGATGGTACTTTCATGTTTTAAAAAAAAATTTATACACACGTTCTTTTTGAGAAAATCCTAAAAACAGTCATATCTCGAAAACTACAAGATTTTGAGCAGGCAGATTCAGAGGCAAGATTTGCAACCTATGAGCGTACCCTCACAGGTTCCAATAACAGGATTGAGATTTTCAAAGTTTTGGAATTTTTTAACATCTAATTTTTTTTTTGAAAATTTCGGAGAAAATCATAAAAAACGTCAAATCTCGAAAACTACAAGGATTTGGTTATTCATATATGGAGGCCAGGTAGACAGACATAATCAATTTAAGTTAAAAAAAGCAGGTATACAGACAGACAGACTTAATTTGGCCTCGAAAAAAATTACTGAAAAAGTAACTACCTTGCCGAAAACGAAATGAAAAATTTTCTTAGGCATTGCAATATATGATATAGCTCAAAACATGAAAAAATTCTTTCGTTAAACATGCAAAACTATTATGCTTAAACATGGGAGATAGCTGTCACTAGCATTTAAATAGTACTAGCGTGTAAAGCACCACCGGTGCTTCGAACTTCTGACAACTCAGGAAAAAGCGCAAATAGTGGAAACCAGATCTGTAGAATTCTAGTGTACTCTGTCAGCACCCAATTACATGGTTAGGAATTTCAAACTTTTAAGAAAAAAATAATTTAAGTTTTCTGAAAATTTTTTGAAAAATCACAAAAAACGTCAAACCTCGAAACTACAAGGATTTGAGCAGTCAAATTTGGAGGCAAGATTCGCAACTCATGAGAGTACCCTGACAGCACCCAAATAAAGGGTAAGACATTTCAAATTTTGAAAACAATTATATCAAGTTTTTTGAAAATTTAATTCTAATTTAGAAAAAAGATATAAAAAAATTTAAAAAAGATCGAAAAGAAGAATTGAAAAATAAATCGAAAAAGGATTGAAGAAATTTAAGAAAAAGGTGAATCAAAAAAATACAAAAAATAGAAAAAAAGATCGAAAAGAAGGATAGAAAAAGAAGGATCGAAAAAAAAAAGAAAAAAAAAGACGAGAAAAAAAGATTGAAAAAAAAGGATCAAAAAAAAGATAAAGATAGAAAAAAAGATAGGAAAAAACATCGAAAAAAAAGATTGAAAAAGAAACAGCAGAAAAAAAATAGAAAAAAAAGAGAACAAAAGGTCGAAAAAGAACTATGAAAAAAAGATCGAAAGAGGGATTGAAAAAGAAGGATTGATAAAAAAAAGAAAAAATAACAAAAAGGTCGGAAAAAAGATCGAAAAAGAGGGATTGAAAAAAAAGATAGAAAAAAGATCGATAAAGAAGGATCGGGAAAAAAAGAACAAAAGATCGAAAAAGAAAGATCAAAAAGATTGAAAAAAAAAGATAGAAAAAAGATCGAAAAAGAAGGATCGGAAAAAAAAGAGAACCAAAGATCGAAAAAGAAAGATCAAAAAGATTGAAAAAAAAAGAAAAGATCGAAAGAGAAGGATTGAAAAAAAGATAGAAAAAACATAGAAAAATATCTGACTGAAAAAAAAAGATAGAAAAAGAAGGATCGAAAAAAAAGAGAACAAAAGATCGAAAAAGAACGATTGAAAAAAAGATAGAAAAACATAGAAAAAGATCTGACTGAAAAAAAAAGATAAAAAACGAAGGATCGAAAAAAAGATCGAAAAAGAAAGATGAAAGATTGAAAAAAAAAGATCGAAAAAGAAGGATTGAAAAAAAAGATAGAAAAACATAGAAAAAGATCTGACTGAAAAAAAAGATAGAAAACGAAGGATCGAAAAAAAAAAGAACAAAAGATCGAAAAAGAAACATGAAAGATTGAAAAAAAAGATAGAAAAAACATAGAAAAACATTGAAAAAAAGATCGAAAAAGAAGGATAAAAAAAGATAAAAAATATAAAAAGATAGAAAAAAAAGATGAAAAATATCGAAAAAAAAAGATAGAAAAAGAAAAAAAGATCGAAAAAAAAGATAGAAAAAGAAAGATGGAAAAAAGATCGAAAAAAAGGATCGAAAAAGAAGGATTGAAAAAGAAGGATCGAAAAAGAAGGATTGAAAAAAAAGATAGTAAAAACATTTAAAAGATCGAAAAAGAAGAATCGAAAAAATAAGGATAAAAAAGACAGGAAAAAAATAGAAAATCCAGATAAAGAGAAAAAATTGGAGAAACCGTTTGACAGTAGTATTATTTTGAACTGAATCGTCGAAACCAAATTGAAAGTTAAAAAATTAGGAGACGGGTAGAGAGACAGACTTAATTTGTCCTCGAAAAAAATTACTGAAAAATTATTGACTTTGCTGAAAAATTTTCTTAAGCATTGCAATATATGATATAGCTTAAACATGAAAAAATTCTTTCGTTAAACATACAAATTTATTATGCTTAAAAATGGGAGATAGCTGTCATTCGCATTTAAATATAGTATAGATAGATAGATAGATTCTATTCTGAGACTATCACGCTGTCGGACCCAGTGTCAGGGACCAAAAATTATGAACTGATTCAGTAATTTTCTTGCTAGAGAAATTGTTCCATGATTCGAATAAAGTTAGCTAACCGTTATTCAATTAACACCTGAAACACGATAGTAAAGTGTTAAACGAGCAAAACCAACCTGAGATTCTTGAGGAGTTGCCCAGACAGGTGGAGGTGCCTGTTTTCTTTTAGCAGCCGGGTACTTTAACAAACTTCTGAGTCCCGATGTATACTTGGAGTGGTGATGAATCAGCTTTTCAAGTGTTTCAAACTGGGCCTCCTCCGATATGAAGTACATGGCCGCATTTTGGTTATAATTTATTCTGTAATGGTACACTCTTGTATCGTGACGCAAAGAGATTGTGTAGGTTCCCGAAGATCCCTCTGATTCTCGTACCAAAAAGCTCCCCGTTACTCCACTGAGCAAAAGGTGTTCTGCTTCGATCTTACTGAGAGGTCCGTGGTACCAAGAATGGGTGCTTTTACTGTTATAAGGAGCTATGTAATTAAAGGGTACCCAACCCAACAATTGTTGAATTGTGTCGGGTGAATTGTTTTGAGATTGCACGAGTTGGGCTTCGCACCATTCGCCAGTTTCGTTGAAGCCCAAAACTTTCAACAAGTCGCCTGAAATTCGAACCACCGAATCTGATCGTCAGTGAATCATGCGAGATCAAGAAAATATCAAGGTTCATTAAAATAAGTAATTCGAAAAAGTTTCTAGAAATAACTGACTGTTAAATAATACGGCTCGGTTTTATATGAGGGGTTCAAAAGTCAAGGGGGAAAATTTGACACTTCTATTAAATTTTGGTACCTTTCTGGAAAGACAGCTGGTTACTGGCTTGAGTTGAGTAGTCGAATTGGGCCACATAAACATTATCTGAGGTATTGGGAGCATTACTGCCTACATTCAGTTCCGACTGGAATGATGCCGAAAACTGCAATAAGTTCTCACGTGATGACCAAGGAGTTAGTCCACGGCAATCAACTAAACAAACATTACCAATAGTCTCATATATAACTTCGACTAAATTCAAAACTTTGTGCGATCATTACCGTCGTTTTCAGATTCAATGACAAAAGAGGGCACCAGTGATGAGTCATTTGAGGAAACTGAAACGGCAGAAGATAATGGAGCTTTGTTCTTTTTCTTCTTCGAGCCACTGATTGCACTATTGCTCTTCTGCTTCTGAAAGTATGAGCCATTAGGATTTCCGTTTCCATCCTGGGCACCTTGGTGCTCTTTTGATCCGTGATGACCCATTAAATATTCATTTTCTTATCTGAAGCAAATTATTTCTCAGCCAATAAATAAATATCGTTTTCAAGTCCACTCAAATGCGGTTTTTTAACAGAAAAAATCAACCAACAAATATATGGTATTATTTAAGCAGGTCATTTAGTTTATACTTGTTTTCGGTTTTTACCATCTGTGCATTTGGAAAGCAAGTTTTAACTAAGTCCAGTGTCCGTGAGCTGTTAACCAGATCTAAAGCTGTAACTCCTCCGTTATCTTCAAGTGTAAAGAGCTTCGAGTCAAATTGCAGGAGAAATGTAATGCAATTTAAACTATTACGAGATACAGCAAACTGCGCACAATTATTTCCGGTGCTATTAATGGAAGGTGCTTTTGGATCTACGCCCAGATTAATTAAAATTTTCAAAGAGTTGCAACAATCAGTTTGACAGGCAATGTGTACAGGATAATTTCCGTTACTGTCTGGAATCTTTAAATCTGCAGAGAATTTGTAGAACAGATTGATAATAGAAACATTATCTGTTTTGATTGCGTCGCATAACGCAGTTGTTCCACATGAATCCTGTACATCAATTCCAAAGGACTTATTCTCCAAAAAGTATTCACAGATTTTCTCTCTGTTGTTCAATGATGCACAATGCAGCGCCGTTCGGCCGTTCGTTGTCTTCAACAAAACCAGATTTGGATCCTTTTCAATGAGAAATTTGACAATTTCAAGAGACCCCGATCTGGATGCTAAATGCAATGATGACCAGCCATCTTTATTAACTAGATTAATATTTGCACCTGCATCGACTAATATTTTAAAAATTTCATAATTTGCGTTCTCGCAAGCATGCATGAGAGGAGTCCAATCTGACCTCTTTAACGGATTGACCGGTGAACCATGTTTCAAAAGAACTTTGACACATTCAACTTTGTTATAAATAACTGCTTCGTGAATCGGACATTTCCCGTCGTGGTCTTTCGATAAAATGGCTTTAGAATTATGATAGAGAACTAAAGCCTCTATGATTGAAGCACAGCCTTCCCTGCTAGCCAAATGTAGACAGGTTTCACCATGCGGTAACACGCGATCGGGTTCAAAATCACCGGATTCAATTTTGGAAAAAATACTTCGAGCTTTGAATTTCATATTTGCGTGAAAGAATCAACATGACAAAACATGGTCTTCCGGCCAGCGCTAACTATCTAGATTCATATCCAGGCGCCGCTAACATGAATCTGTAGAAAACATTTCAAAGATAACAGAAGGACGAAGCAGAGAATTACATCGCAGTCATGTAATTACCAGCTTGCGAATAACAAATGAATTAAATTACAACCAAGTGTTGAAAAAAACCTCGACTGACGTTCAATAAAAGAAAACACAGGGTCAGGAATGCAATCATCAGCGTAAACGAAAAAATCTTGATTTGAAAAGTTAATTTTTGAACGTCTTTGCAACTAAGTTCATCGACAGGATATTTAAAACACAGAAACGAAGCCGAGCTTCGCACCCCTTGCGAGCGATACAACCTAACCATAAAAAAGCATGTCAAAAAAAACATGTGTTGTGTGACATTCGACCAGAATGGCGCCAAAATGCATGGCAATATCGAAATTTTATAAGAGCAGCCGAGAGAAAATTGGCAGTTTCGATGGGTTTGTAACATTCGCCCGGAAGTACATATCGACGGAAAATAAAGCTAGGTTCTAAAACGACTGGCCAGAGTCTAAACACAGCTCTACATGCTTTTCTTCTCTGCCAAAGCTAGTTCTTTTGGTGGTCTTTCTAACATCGGGTCGATAAAAAACGTTACTGTTTCCGGCTTCGATCAGAACGCTCTACTTAACTTAATTACAGGTAGGAATAGTGAGCTCATGGCTGAGTCTCAGTTTCCCCAGACCACGAGATCACTCCTGAAAACAGGGCTACTACTTATTTATTATATTACTTTCTTGTTTTTGTTTTTGTTCAGTATAAACATCATCATCTCATCAAAGATAGATCAACCCTTAACTCCTAGCTTCCCGTAGTCTGAAAATGTCTTTAGATGTTAATTGAATTCAACTCAGGACATCTCCAGGAAGCTAAAAGTTTATAAAACACAGTTTGAGTTCTTCTCACGAGACCCCTCTGGGTTCTGGAATCCGGGCAAATAACGCTCCTATTTCTTTCAGGAAGGCTGGACACGCCGTCCCACACCCTTCCTAATTCTTAAATAGTTTTCCTTATTCCTTATTTATTAAATAGTTTATTAAATAGTTTCAGATAGTTGAAATGTTTACCGGGGTAGCAATGGTTGCCCCGCGATGAAATTGTCCGACAGAAGATATCACTTGCTCAAGACATCATCTTCAAAAAATCTCCTGATTGCGGATTCTCAAGCACGCCATCTTGATTTTCCAAATTTCAATATCTTGTCCCTACCTGGGGCCCGAATTGGTGCGGTCCAAAACTTCTTACCCGAGAAAGACAAAGAAAGATAAAAGGAACTTGGAAGTTTAGAGGAGTGAGTGAAAAAATCCACAGCTCATATCATTTGAAAACTGACGAAGTGCACCTCAGTGAAGAAGGTCTGAAGGGCATTAAAAGTATTCTCAAGAATAAAATCTTATACGATAAACATTCGAACATCTGCAATACAGAAGGACATCTGGTATATTACGAGTGTCGTTTCAAGAACTGTCAGTGCCCCTATTAACGTAAGTAGAAATAGTGAACCGCAGGCCTCCCCTTTTCGGGAACCACCAGGTTTGTCTATTTCTTCTTTTCCCCTGAGTGAGCCACAGGCCTCCCCTTTTCGGGAACCACCAGGCTTAACTGTTTTTCTATCCATAGTATAAGCAAAAATGGGCAAAAACTGCAAAACATGTAAAAGAGGCTTTGCCAGCAACGAGAAAACATACACTTGTGTCGCATGCAACGCTCAAATGCATTTGGAACCAACTTGTGTTGGGTTGTCTCTAGTGGCCATAAATGGAATAAAAGAACTAGGGCCGAATGTCATGTTGCTTTGTAATACTTGTGTGCAAAATAATGAACGAGACAACTTTATAAGATGCAAAACCCTGGCCAACATAGACGAGAAGCTCTCAAACATTGATGTAACTGAAAGCCTTAAAAGCATGGAAAGAAGACTTACCGATTTAGTAGATCAAAAAATTGGAAATGCAATGAAAACGACATGCGATAAAGTGGAAAAAACTTATAGTGCCGTTGTAGCTGCTGAAACCACCACCCGGATAAATCAAGCTCAAACCACTCAACATGCTGCCAGATCTAACTCTGATCACAACATAAATCAAAGTTTTAGGATACAAGGGGTCAAAGAGGACCCTGAGAAAACAAAAGGAGAAAACCTTGTCCCAACAAATGACGAAGTAAACGAAATACTAGACATAATTGGAGTGAAGCCGAAAATAATAGAACTAAAACGACTGGGAAAATTTGATCGTAATCGAATGAAGCCAAGAACACTGCTGGTCACTGTACCTAGCGAACATGAAGCACGACTAGTACTAGCAAAAAGCCGAGAAAAGCGAGAACAATTGGTCGAAAAAGAGGTCTACCTGCTACCAGCATTGACCAAAGAGAGTGCAATTAAAGAGAACGAAATCCTTAAGAAACGAAGACAACTACTAGATGAAGGCGTTCCTCGCGAAAAGCTGAAAATAAGGAATCTAGAATTGTTCAATGATGGTGTGAAAGTAACTATTGACACTGAAGTTCAGGAACCCCAGCATTGACTAGGATTCCTCAACATTCTGCAACTAAATACTAGAAGCCTAATCAACATAGAGAGAAGAACTAAGCTAGCAAATGCAATTGCAGTTGGAAATTTTAATGTCATATGCTTAAGCTAAACTTGGCTTAACGAGAATATTCAATCATCAGAGTTTTTTCTAAGTGAATATAACATCTATAGATCTGATAGAGCTATTGTGAGTGGTAAAAACTGTCACGGAGGCAGCCTAATAGCTGTCAAGAATAGTCTAATTACCGAGGACTTATCCACCAAACATGACATTCCTGATTCATGTGTGCTATGTAGTATAAAACTTCATCAAACTGAAATGATAATTGGCTCATTCTACAATCCGCCAAAAAACAGTAATTACAGATACAAAGTGCATGAATTTGAACAACTGATCAAAGCCATTCCTAAAAACAAACCGTTTCTCTTATGTGGGGATTTAAATTTCCCAGAAACAAACTGGAACACCCTCACCAGTACTGACGAGGAAGAAAACCAAATACTGCAAATTTTTGAAAATGGACTCTTTAGGCAGGCGATAGATTTCCCAACATGTGTGAAGAACATACTAGACGTAGCCTTCTATCGGAATTGCTATACAAGTGCCGAACAAGATTTTAACGTTTCCAAGATCTATGACTGCTCAGATCACAATGCCATAATGTTGTCTATTGAATGCACGGTATCAGAGCCGAAACCATACTTGGAAAATTTTAGAAGTTTTGGAAATGCCGATTTTGAAGGAATAAACAATTTTATAAACGAGAACCCATTTGAACCAGTATGCCACACAAACATTAACAAAATGCATGAGGAGTACACCCAATATTTGGATGAAATCATTAAGAGTTTTGTGCCTCTCAGAACAAGACATAGGCAATCACTTCCACCTTGGATAACAAGTAGCACTTCAAATTTGATCAAAAAGTTACAAACAAAACGGCAATCATGTATACTCAAACCGACCAACTACAGAAGACAACAAGTTAAACTGTTTGAAAATTTAGTAACTGAATCATCGGAAGTGGACAGGAAAAACTACCAAGAGGAATTGTTTAGAACACGGAACACTAATGTAATTTTTAACCACCTAAAGAACTTGAATAAACATACAAGTCTTCCTAAGTTACTCATAAAAGATGAAGTTGAAAGCACAAATCCAAACGAACAAGTCAACATGCTAAACGACTTCTTTCATTCAGTTTTTAATCCTAAAGAAAGTTTTAGTATTAGAGATATTCAATTTGGAAATCCCTTGTTAACGAATTTTGATATATCGAAAAAGACAGTAAGTGAGATTTTATCAACTCTGGACGTAACAAAGTCACGCGGCCCAAATGGGTTGCCACCTAGCTTTTTTCAGAAAACGAACCGCAATATATGCAAACCGATGAACAAAATTTTGAGAAACGTAAAACGCCTACGAAAAATACCTGATTCATGGAAAACAGCTGCAGTTACTCCTGTTCACAAAAAAGGTGACCGAAAATTGGTGAACAACTATCGACCAGTATCGCTATTAAATATTGACAGCAAAGTCCTTGAAAAATGTATATACAAAGACCTGTACCCTTACTTTGCCTGGTATTTGACGAAACATCAACACGGTTTTACTAAAGGTAGATCAGTTTTGACAAACATGCTCTCCTTCCTGAAAGAAATATATGAAGCGCTTGACAATGACTCAAACGCAGAAATTGTAGCAGTCTACACTGACTTTGCAAAAGCCTTTGATAAAGTTCCGCATTTTGATCTACTCAAGAAAGTTGCACTTATAGGAATAGGAGGCTGCATGTTAGAGGTACTCTATGACTATTTGAAAAACAGGAAACAGTTTGTACGAGTAGACAATATCAGCTCAAAAGTTTTAGAAGTCACTAGTGGTGTTCCCCAAGGATCACTTTTAGGACCACTGCTCTTTTGCATTTTTATTAACGACCTACCTGAAGTACTCAAATTCTCTGAACCATATATTTTTGCGGATGATCTTAAACTACTTTCCATCAAAAAAACATCAATTGAAATTCAAGAAGATCTGGACAAAATTCAGCAGTGGGTAACTGAAAACAAAATGGAATTAGCACTAGATAAATGTGCAAAAGTAAGTTTTAGGGGCGGAGACGCCAACTCTATGCTTTTTGGTGTAGTGCTTGGAACATCGATGGTTGTGAAAGATCTGGGAATTTTTGTGTCGGGCGATTTAAGTTGGAAGGTACACATTGAAACAAGATTAAAGAAGGCAAACCAAGTACTGTACCTCCTGAGAAGAAACCTATCAGCAAAGATAAATACGTTTGTAAAGTTAGGCCTGTATAAGTCACTAATACTCCCAGTGTTATTATACGGACTCTCATGTACACATATATCGAAGGGGGATCAATTGCAGTTGGAGCGATTTCAAAAGAAAGCAATCCGGTGGATCACTGGAAATAAAACGGGAGTGTACATCAACGAACTACGCTTGCTAAACATTTTACCCCTGCCCATGTTCATCCAGCTAAATAACATCTTACTTCTTGCCAGTCTTGATTCTAATGAACGAAATGAAATAGTGTTAAACAGGCGAACCACACGGGCTAGAAATATAGAAATTTTTGAGATGCGAAAAGTGAGAACGGAAAAGCGAGAAACGAATTTGTTTTCAGAACCAGTAGGATTGTAAATCGATTAGAACCATATATTCATTTTGATAAACGAATCGGCCTCAAGACGAGAATTTTAAACACGATGTGGAAATTTGTAAACGAGAGATTTTCAGAAATGACAACGTGCACGTGGCAATTATTCTGTGATTGTATCACATGCAGAAACAAGTGGACATTGTTTTAGAGAAGACGACGGGACCAAGACTCCCAACAGCAGTGCTGTGAATCCCCAACAACAACAACAACAACAAAATTCTCGGGATACGGTTTGTAACGACTGTAGCGGCACAATCCTTACAACTCGGCATGGTTGTTGGTCACAAAAATTTTCTTATCGTTTGTATTTCTCGTCTGACTCTTTTCTGCCTAATTTTATGTTGTTCTCATTGAAAATTCTCTTCTTCTGTTTCTGCCGTTTTCAGTGTGTGCGAAATTTTGATGTTGTCACGTGGCTTCCTTTTCGAACGAATTTTCAAAAAACAACCTGTTAGCTCAAACTAACCCTTCCTCGTTTGTTCTCGATTAACACCACTAATTCTTTAAAACCGTTAATCTTCCCACTCCGATGTGACAATAAAAGTTCGAATTCTGACTTTGCTTTTTCGTACATTCTGCGTGAATGTCACAATTAACAGCGCTAATCGTGCAATTTGACGAATTGGGAGAGCTTAATTTAAGGTGACGAAGTAATTTGTAAAAAATCGTTTGAAATTAAAGACCTTGAAATTTAGCGAACAATGAAAACCGCGAAAATAAGACCAGACCGAGAAAACAGCTTTTCGCTAGAAAATTGCAACATTGACTCTCGATAGTCAAGAAAAAACGTGAGAACTGTATTTTTAAAATGCATGAAATCACTTTTATCCATGTCACATCGACTCACAGCAAAATACAATTGGGATCATACTAACTTATTATAGCCTTCCAACTTCTCTCACTAATCTGCACTTTCGAGGATATGACTTAGGATAAAACTTTTTTTCTGACTTCTAATCTCTATGTCCCTATTTAAAACTTTTTCTCCTAGATTTAAAACGTTTTGGGACGCAGGACGTCCTGCCAACCAACGAAATAAAGTTATTCTAGTATGCTTTTTCCCTTCGAAAATTTAGTAATAATGATCCTGAAAATTGAATTTGAGGAAATCGATGCTTAGAAGGAACAATGAAATAATCTCCCTCTTCAAGAGATTACCCAAGCCTTTAATGTCACTAAAAAGTGATCAGTCATCTTAGTTGATTAAAAGCAATCATGCAGGCTGGAATAATTAATAAACTCTCCACTCAAGCCTTTCTAAATAAACAGTAAGTTTCTCAAAGTCATCAACTAAAATCACATTGCAAATTTATAAGTGCAACAAATCTTCAACTTCTAATTTCAACTAAATGTTTTCTCCTCAGTTTCAATTGCAAATTTAGTTGCTTTGTTTCTCATTTGAGTTTTTCTCACATAAGCAATTCTGAGTTTTATCATTTTCTCCTTCGTTGCTTCTGTTTGTAGTTCCTTGTTCACTTTTTGTTTTTGTCGTTTAGAAGTTCTAAAACTTCCAACTTATTCTAATCTTTCTTCTTTTTGCGTCTTGTTTTTCGGCCCTTTGTCAATGCTCCATCTCCCCTCCTGCGACACTGACTCCGCACTTTCAGTCTCAGTGTCTTGCAACACGTCGGTAGCTATTCTGGCGCTGTTAGAGGCAGTCCTCCAACACTTCTGCTTTTATACCGTTTGTTTGCAACAACGTAGAGGATCAAGGTTAGTTTCCCTGTTTCGGCAGAAGCTGTTGTGGAGGCACAACGTCATATTTCTCTCTAAATCTTCCTTCAACATTTCTTCTGTTTCTCTCCCGTCACACTCACTTGTTATAGACGTCCTTTTCACTGCGGTGGTCACTGCATTCCGATGTCAGAGAACTTCTTCAAGTTCGTTTGTTCTTCAGAATCTGTTCTCATTGACAAAGCGCAGCCAATTTTTTTTCCTGGATTGAAAACGTGTGTCCAGTGTATTCCACAATACACTCACACACAGTCCGTTTTGTGTTACAGAAACGCTTCGGCCTAAAACTAATGTCCCTTTCATGGGGATGAAAATTTGATATTAAAAAGGATTATTGAATTGAAATCTTTGAATGAAATGTTTTCAATGAGATCCGAGACGGCTGACGGCTTGTCGAGTTGCTCGAATATTCTGGAACCTCCCTCGTCCTAAGAATTAGAGTAGTATGACAAACCAGTTTTGCAAAATAGATATAGGATTTGAGAGGTAAGATAGGTGAGGGAAAGTTCAAGTCGCTAAAGGAAATTTTAAATCGGAACGCGGACGTTTTTTTCAGAATGCGAGTATTGGTTGTTGTAATTTCGTCGAGCACGAAATCGCCGAACTAGACGAGGGCACCGTTCCCCACAGGGAGGGCGCAAGGCGCATGACACCATGCAAATCGGAAGCGTGCCGAGTGGGAAAAGAAATGATGCTCGAACACGACATGATAGAACCCTGAAAGTCACCTTGGGCTTGTGGAGTTGTCATGGCTATAAACAGAGGGGGAATGCTAAGATTCTGTTGCGAATTTTGCTGCCTGAATGCGGTGACCGCCAAAAAAGGACGCTTACCAAAAACGACGCAGAGACGAGAGCCTAGTTTTTCACTACACTGCACCTGGGTTCTGCCTTCTGGCAGATTCCTCTGCGGAACAAGGACAAAGACAAGACTGGATTTGAGTTGGGCTTGTTCCAGTGGAAAAGGATGCCCTCAGGTTTGTGCAATGCCACGGCGACCTTCCAAAGACTAATGGCTCAGGCTCTGACCAGGATATCGATGAAGCACGGAAATCTCGTGATTTGCTACGTGGACGACGTGGTCATAGCGACACCCACCTTGGCAGATCACAACGACAGATTCGACGAGGTTTTCGACTGCATGAAGAGAGCCGGTTTGAAATTCAAATCGTCGAAATGTGAGATCCTTGGGGACTCAATCAAGTACCTGGAAAGAATGGTAGACATGCATCGCGTGAGGTCGGATCTGGATGCAGTGGAGGCCGTGCTAACATGGTAGGCCCCCAGAACAGACACACAGCTAGGATTTGCCAATTATTACCGCGAATTTATAATGGATACGCAGAACAAGTGTACCCAATGCAGCAATTAATGCGCAACAAAGGGAAGAAGTGCGAATGGAATGAAAGAGCTAAGGAAGCTTTCGAGAATCTAAAGCGGGAACTGTGCGAAGCGCCAGAACTAGGCATGCCCATGGAGAGAGGGATGTACGTTCTCGACACTGAAGCTTCGGTGGTGGCCAATTCAGGAATACTGCATCAGGAGCAAGAATCGAAAGGGAGATCAGTCCTCCGTCCCATTGCATATGGCAGTAAATTGTGGAGCGCCACTGAAATAAAAATTAAGGCACAAAAAGCAGAATTATTTCCGGTATTCAAGTTCGTGGAAAAATACTGCGTATACTTGGTGAGCACTCCCTTTATGTTGCGTTTGGATAACAGAGCCCTATCCTGGTTGAAGACGTACTGGGTGGACCAGAGTTATATTGCTCGTTGAATAGTCAGGTGGTATGGCTACCGCATGATAATTGAGCACAAGAGGTCTGACAAGCACCAGAATGCTGACAGCCTAAGTAGGAAGATTTAAATTTGTGAGAGACTTGAGCAAAAGGCAGTTCAATCAGGCGGACATTAAAGAAGGATTCTCGTTTCTGGACAAAGAGAAATATGAAGCATTTCCCTTGACGAGATGGTTGGACAAGTCAGGACATCCGATTCAGGAACACCCAGAATTACCAGTGGAGAAAGCAGCAGAAATAAAGATCTTATCCAAAAGGGACCCGGTGTCTTGGATCTATTGGATCCTTTAAACCTGGTCCGACAGGAACTCTCTCGTATGAACATAAACAGCCGCTCATTGCTAAATAAAACGGTGCATGTCACACCACAAGTGATGCGGATGCTGCGTGGATTGTTGGAGAGAGAAGTGACTAGAGATGACCCCGAATGGGCAGCAGCCATGACATCGTTGACAGTCATTGAAAAGATACTGACAAAACCATCAAGACGCCAAAACAGAGAAAAAGAAAAGGATTTTAGGACGGTAGTTCAGCAACTAGTGTCCTCGATTCCTCAAAGCGTTGTGGTGAGAACATCATTTAAAGAAAAAGGACAAGAGATCGGAATTCAAAAGAAGATTGTCACTTTTGAGGAACCTGATAAAGAATGGATAGAAGTTGAATCTGAAAACCCAAACAAGAAAATTTGTCCGGGGAGTCGGATGTTGAAGGAAATGATCACGTAAATGGTCATGAAAATGGTAAATGTAAGTTTTGTCCGGCCATTTTAGATGGATGAGTAGATCGTGCACGTTCGAAAATGCCCTGGAGACGTGTTTGATAACTACTCAGACAAGAACTCGAGAACAAGATCAGACTTATCAGAGTTAGCAATCCACATGTTGCTAGTGGAGACTCGAGCAAGAGACTCGGAAAGGGAAGTGTACCAAGACCCTGATAGTGTTCGCTACCTGATCCCGAGCTGAAAAGTTTTAGATAACTCAGCGGATGACCTGGAAATGATAGCAGTGTCGGGGCGTTCGATGAACCTATTACCACAGAAGGAAGTGGTCAAGACTGACCTTCAACCGTTTAAACAAGAGACAGAGCCATTGGCAAAGATTTGGTGCGTCAAAAAGGAAGACGACACGCATCAACCTGATGAGCTAAACGGAGAATTGATCGCCAGACAAAAATTTTGAAAAGGTGGATAGACAATGGGTCACCAGAAAAAGGAGATCTGGAAGAGGGTTGTTACCGAATCTTGAAACAATACTGTATGCAGAAAGAGGGGAGGTTATATCTGAAGAAGGATGGGATCGTGGCTTGCAAAATGAGAGAGGAGGTCAGGGTACTGTACAAGTGCAACGCAATAGTCTTGCCGCAAATTTATCAAACGGAACTCTTATTCAGGTCGCATGGTCAGATGGGCCAACAAGGGATCGATAAAGTAAACCAGAGAATCTTGAAATGCTTCGAATGTCCTGGAATGAAGAAGGCACGCGAGAAGTGGGTAACAGCATGTCTGTCATGCCAACACGTGAAGTATCCCATGAAATTGCGATTTCCGTTGCAGTCAATAGTGTCATCCGAATTCAATGAAGTGGTACAGATTATCATCAGAATATATGCATGACAGACAGTGGCTGCAATCAGGTCCTGGTGATGATCGGCCACTTCACAAAGTATGCAGAGGCCGTGCCCTGCATAGCTGCCTCGGCCGAAGAGACATGCGACCATCTGATCATTACTTGGAATGCAAGACATGGATGTCCAATGACATTCCAATCGTACAATTGGACAGCTTTAGTAGGAGAACTTACCAAGGAACTCATGAAACGTTCTCAAGTAGCTCGGGCTCTCTTCTAATTTTTTATCATCCACAAACAAAGAGTTTGGTGGAAAGACAAAATCGGAATCTGGTGTCGATGTTGAGGGTGTACTGTTCCCGATACATGACTGATTGGGATACATATTTTCCACAAGTGATGGGAGCTTATAACAGCACGCAACGTTCCACCACAGGAACTAGTCCGCAAATGATGTTGACTGGACATGAAAAGTCTTTGCTTTTATTTTTCTTTTATCCAGAGTATGAAGGAAAGAAAACATCGCCACAAGTCTAAATAAGAGACTTGACACGCGTCAGCAAGAGCTGATTGACTTATGCAGACGCAATACGCAATAAGCTCAGGCGAGGCAGAGAAAAAGTTTTGACAAAAGGGCAGCTGGTACAAAAGCTAACGCAGTAGGAGACTACGTGTGGGTCTTTCAGAACGTCAAAACAACCGAAAAGAATGAAGAAACTCCTGAAGAAGTGGAGGGGATTGTTCATGATAACAGAAGTGCATAAGGAAGGGCAATTTTACAGACTGAGTACCGGCCGAGCTGCGTATTTTGAGAACATTAAGCCACACAACCCATCCACAGAGGACTGAAGTATACCTGAAGACATGAAGCAGTGCGATTATCTGATGATGAACCCTGCTTGCGAGGTCAACGAGAAAGGTACCAGGGAAAAAAGCGATGGGAATGAAGCTCTAGAAGAAGGTTCAAGTACGCCGCTGGACCTTGATCCCAATGAATTATTTGAGGCGGTTGAGGAAACCTTACCATACGCAGAGAAGGACTGGGAAAATCCCGAGCAGATTGAGGTTTCCAAGAACACGAAACCAGATCTACGCTTTACAATGTAATTAAGACAGAGTGACAGGAAAACGCCTCCAAAGAAGTTTCACCCTAACGGAGACAATTTCGTAGTGGACAGAAAAGAACTGAAAAAGATAGTGGAGGATTTGGTGACATCAGACCCAAAAGAAACCAAGATCACGATTCAGGACGTAGACCGCGAGAGCAAGAAATACATAAAGAATGACAAAGGGGACCCTTCCTGTGTAGCCCAGGAAGGGCAATTGCCGATGCCAGCAACCAACTTAACTTAATATGATATACCCAACTTGACGGGGACGTCGATGGATATTTTTGTCAGGGGAGTGGGGATAGGACTTACCCACACTGAAAAATTTTTATTAAAACTATAGCAAGAGAAACAGGTGACCTAGTGCCAGAAAAGATGAACGCCCTAGGAAACCAGACAGAGGGACAGTATTAGAGTCATATTTTTACTTGCGAAATGAGTTCTCAATCAACATAGTACTAACATATAGCGACTTTATGCTTACATATAGGACATGTGCAATAGCGATCACCCCTGATATGAGTTTTAGAACAGCGCTAGCAGCAGACTGTATGAGAGAATATAAAAACAGAGAATTTTTATGAAATCAAAGACCAGGAATAGGAGGTGTAGCAGCCTTGCCTCCGGCGGCTTCGTAAATACCAAAGAAGTATTTATGTTTTTTGGTGACGAGGGCGACGGAAAAGCAGCATGTGGACCCTGAAGATTTGGTTCTGTCCCCAAAGAGACTGTGCGACTTCTTGGTGGAAAGGGAGGTGAGAGAACTATCGCTTCCTGTGTCTCACCCATACCGAGGACGACTGTATCCTCTTGAGCTGTATGCACCGAAGCATGTGATCTTTTCTGATACCAACATAGAAGTGTATCTACAAAACAAAAACTATTTGAGTATAGGCTGAGAGTAGGTCGAGTGTGTTGTGTGTTATGTGTTATGTGTAATGTATTATGTTGTTATGTTATTAAGATTTCGATTTTGGAAAGCTTAGTGACCACGAATACTGAAACAATATTTTTAGGAATAGTTCCAAAGTGTGAACTGTCCACTCTTAAATCGAATTCCAAGACTTTAGAACTGGATTGATTTTCAATCTATTTTAAGATTCAAATCTTCTTATCTGACTGTTTTTAAACCAATTTTAAAATAAATATGGAGTAATATCAACAGATGTGATAGTCGTTACCTTATTTCTAGTTCCTGATTGATCGTTTACTTACTCAACAAATTTGAATTCTGCAAATCGATAATCAAAATCGAATCATAGAGAATGGATAGCTTCGACGTGAATGATTTAATGGACCTTGCCGAGGCATATGTAGGACCGGTGATAGATGCGATCTATCGCCGGCTGATGGATCGAGACTTCACTCTGGATCTTGTTGTCATGTTGCTGGCCGCCTTAACTAACATGAAGGCACGACAACCGTGATGACCGCCCCACGGAAGTCTTATTGATGGCCCATTATGAGGGTAAGGAGGTGGAGAAACAACTGTGCCACCAAAACTGGCGAGAGTAGAAGAAGAAGCCCAGGAGAATGAAACAATGAAAGACCTGAGCGAAACGAAAGAAACATTGCTCAGAACTGAAGAAGACCGAGACATGTGGATGAGACTGTTCAAGGATTGCAAAAACACGCAGGGCGAGGAGATAAAACGCTTGAGGCAAGATTATAAGGAGCGATGGGAACGAGTGACATTAACGACAGTAGAAAGAACAATGCTCCTCGTGGGCAATTCCCAAATGACCTTCTGACGCCGCGTGAACTAAGCCTAACAACAGAAGTGCGAACCCCAGAAGCGTCCGGTACAGTGACGATCCCGGATCCAAGTGACACCCTGCGTGATCCAGTCGTGGAACGAATCATGCGACAGCTGGTGGTAATCACTGGCCGACTCGTGGCCAACAGAAGTACAGAAGTGTGCCAGGATCCGGGGTGACTGAACCCTATGGAACGATTGACGATAACGGCAGAGTGGAGCTCTCTTCGGAAGTTATGAAGAAAACGGGAGCTGCTGCCGCGACGAAACCAGCAAAGACCTCAAAAGCGTCTGACAGGACGATAAGGGAGATGCCAATGTAGAAAGTGTCGCGCGTGTTTGGCATACAAAAAGTTAATCAAATCAAGAACAACTTCACAGGAGTCCCAGACACGGACATGCGAGCATGTTTCAACCGATCGGCGTAGATTCGAGCGATGAACATGCAGCAAACACCGCCCGGAGCATCGCATTTGATTTTGGGCGATTGTCTAGTGAGAGTTTTGCTGAACTTAACGACCTCATGGATCACTACAGTGTTGGCT